GAAGAAGAAGAAGAAGAAGAAGAAAATAAACTTCTTAAGCCTCTCAATCTGGAAACAAGACTGCAGAAACCAACGGATCATCTGAAACTAATTTCGTGCATCGGTTCTACGGTTGGGTCTCCTTGCCGACTCTTTCTCATTCTCCCTTTGTTGGCTTCCGACAGAGGTCATCATACCTTCGATCCAGGTGACGATGTTTTAAGGCTCTTAGAAAATTGATTCTAAAAGCACGAGGAGCGGAGGTGGGGGGAAACATGCCGAAGCTTCTCTGAAAAGCAAGCTGCTTAAATCTGATCTCCACCTGCAGAAATGTCGCAAACATGTCCTAACGTGCCCTTCTTATTCCTTAAGAATTCAAGCGAAAGAACCTGCTGAGTGGGTATCTTACAACGTGTTCCTGAAATATTCACAAAACGCTGGGCTTTGCAGAGGGGTTTTATGCCACCCTTCCCCAGTCCATAATACTCCAAGATGCCCTGTGGAATTCTGTGAAACAAAACATTAAACACATCTGGGAAACACCTGGCTGGGTTACATAACGTTTCTCTGTTTGTTATTACTATTGTTATTTTCAAACTCTTTCTCAGCCAAGTTTTCAAAATAGCAAACAATAAATCTTGCATAGCAACAAGACATCACACATCACAAACGCCTTTTAATGAAAACCCTAGCTCTGGACCCGATCCTAAACGTTATATATTTATATCTCATTCATTCTAATGAGCTCAGGATGGTTCATTTGGGGACTGGCCCAGTTTAATTGTAGTCTGCAATCTAGACGGGAACACAGCCTACGACTAAGAGAGACTGCTTTACACACAGTAAAATTAAAATTAAATAGATGGAGGATTATCAGAGAGAAATCCAACCTAAAATGAAGGAGAAATGTCCTGTTATTGAGAACAATTAACCAGTGGGATGGCTTGTCTCCAGAAGTCGTGGGTGCTCCATCACGGGAGGTTTTTAAGAAGAGACTGGACAGCCATTTGTCTGAAATGGTATAGGGCTGTGATGGCGAACCTGTGGCACACGTGCCACAGGTGGCACACAGAGCCCTCTCTGCGGGCATGGCAGCTGTCACCCCATCCCCGCTCCACGGCACATGCGCATGTGCCTCTTGCCGGCTAACTGGTCTTCGGTCTCTGTCGCACATGCGAGGGGGTGGGTGCATGCGCAGGGAGGTGCAGGTTGGTGCAGGAAGCTTTCCAGGCCAAAAACGGGGCACGGGAGGGGACCTCGCGCCCCATTTTGGGCCTGGAAAGCCTCCTGAACCAACCTGGAAGCCAAAACAGGGCACGGGTGGAGACGCATGCGCAGGGGATGCATGCATACATGCATGGGGGTTGTGTGCGCATGAGCGGGGATTGTGCATGGGGCACATGCGTGGGGGGCGCTCGCATTGCATTTTGAGTTTTGGGGCATGTGTGCGTGCATTTGTGCACATGCACCCACGCACACTTTGGCATTCAGCACCAAAAAGGTTAACCATCACTGGTATAGGGTTTCTTGCTTGAGCAGGAGGTTGGATTAGGAGGGACCTCCAAGTCTGAAAATTATTTGGTAAGGACTTGGCCAACCAGGAGAGCGAGACCAGGATCTTCCCGCTTCCACCACTTTATCTGGAGACATTTTCCATCTATTTGGCATCCATGGCTTAGGACCGGGGTATTTATGAGACCGCCTTCTGCCACCAGTAGCCTCTCACCGACCAGTATGCTCCCATAGAGAGAGGCTCCTCAGGGTGCCGTTGGCCAAACAATGTCGACTGGCGGCCCCCAGGGGGAGAGCCTTCTCTGTGGGGGCACCTGCCATCTGGAACGAGCTCCCCCCGGAGATACGGAGGATCCTGGATGTGCACGCTTTTCACCGTGCCATCAAAACATTTCTTTTCCAGCAGGCCGGCCTGGTCTAACCTCTCTTTTAAACTTTTTAAACTTTTTAAATTCTTCAATTTTAAATTTGTCTTATGAATTTGGGGTGTTTTAAATTTCGTTTTCCGGGCCAATTATTTAATTGTATTTTAATGCTTTTTTAACATTTGTATTATATGTATTTTATCTGGCTGTTCACCGCCCTGAGTCCTTCGGGAGTAGGGCGGTATACAAATTCAATAAATAATAATAATAATAATAATAATAATAATAATAATAATAATAATAATAATAATAATAATAAACAGGTAAATCGTTTTCGTGAGTATGGAAAGAAAATAAGTCAGAAGAATGCTAACATTCAGATCGCCCGAAGAATACAATGAAAAGTTAGACAATTACCAAAAGATGAAGTGGCATTTTGGTTGGTCCTTTGGCAGACATCTTTTCCCACAGACCTCGTCGTACATAACGAATGGTTGTCCCCGCTATCTGGAACTCGCCAGGAAGTTCAATTTTCCAGTCGCTATTAATGGATTTCTTACTGGAATCTTTCAAAGCTGCAAAGGATCAAATAGGCAGAGTGGTTCAGGAGAGTTCTCCTTACTCTTCGAGGCCACAAATTCAAGCGAGTCCCCTCAGCAAACGATCCAACCATCCATCCATCCATCTTTCTATGCGCTTCCTTGTGTTTTTAGCTGGAGCTTCTGAAGTTCTAAAGGGAGCTCATGGGAACTGCTAGTCTTCAAGCCACCTTTCTCCATCCTTAACTTTTGTCAGGCTCCAACCCCCCCCCCCACCCTTCCTGAATAGGAACCAACCCTCTCAACTCTTTCTCTCAACTCACATTCTTTCCAGCTCTGGATACCTCCAAAGTGTAAGGCATTTCCTGTCCAAAATAATTTGCAAAAATAAATAAATAAATCAAGCCAGGCAGCGTGGGATGAAAGTAGGTGGAAAGGAACTCGCTCAAGCATCAATTCAACACGAAGCAGCCAGGTTCATTTCCAAAGAGTGTGGGGCCAATCCAGAACAAAAAAATAAATAAAAATAAGGCATACTTTGCCTAAACTTTATGTAATTAGCTCCAGCCATCACTCCAAGGTTAAACCCAGCAGCGTTTGCACAAACCTCAGACCAGGGGTGAAATGCTCCCGGTTCGGACCGGATTGTTGAGGACACAGATACATCTCCAAGTGGCCTCAACGACTCTCTAAAAAGAATGCAAATGACCCGCTGTCTGCAAGGAGTATAAATCCTTCCATTCCACACCATCCAGTCAGAGCTGAAGAAGCTTCCTGGATGAAGAGCGAAACGTCTTCAAAGAATAACAAGGATGTCCAGTTGTCTCTTCAAAAGGCACCTTTGGGTCTTGCCACAGTTGTTAAGAGTATCTCTGCAGTTGTTAAGTTGGTAATACGGTTGTTAAGAGAATCTGACTTCCCCATTGATTTTGCTTGTCAGGAAGTCACAAAAAGTGATCACTGCACGAACCTGCAACCATCATAAATACGTCCCCATTCATCTGAATTTTGATCATATGACCATGGGGATGCTGCAAAGGTTGTACGTGTGAAAAACAGTCCCAAGCAAGGATGAAATCCAACACGTTCTGACAGGTTGTGGAGAACCGGTAGCAGAAATTTGAGTAGTTCAGAGAACCGGCAAATGCCATCTCTGGCTGGTCCCAGAGTGGGGTGGGAATGGAGATTTTGCAGTATCCTTCCCCTGGAGTGGGGTAGGAATGGAGATTTTGCAATATCTTTCCCCTTGGAGTGGGGAGGGAATGGGGATTTTGCAGTATCCTTCCCCTGGAGTGGGGTGGGAATGGAGATTTTGCAGTATCCTTCCCCTTAGGGGAGGGAATGGGGATTTTGCAGTATCCTTCCTCCAGGATTGGGATGGGAATGGAGAATTTGCAATATCCTTCCCCCTGGAGTGGGGAGGCAATGGGGATTTTGCAGTATCCTTCCCCTGGAGTGGAGAGGGAATGGGGATTTTGCAGTATCCTTCCCCTGGAGTGGGGTGGGAACGGAGATTTTGCAGTATCCTTCCCCCAGGAGTGGGGTGGGAATGGGGATTTTGCAGTATGCTTCCCCTGGAGTGGGGTGGGAATGGAGAATTTGCAGTATCCTTCCCCTAGAAATGGGGTGGGAATGGGGATTTTGCAGTATCCTTCTCCTGCCACGGCCACCAAGCCATGCTCACCAAGCCATACCTCACCCACCAAGCCACGCTCACAGAACCGTTAGTAAAAAAAAATTGAATTTCACCACTGGTCCCAAGTCACTCTTTTCACTGCTGCTGTACCTTTGAACGGTCACGAAACAAGTAAGTCGAGGATTGCCTGTACTGAAGTATAGGTAGCAATTTTCTATTGTCATCCGGGGGAGACGGGGGGGGGGGGGAGAAAAGCGACCTTTCAAGGAATTCAGCTACATCTGCTTTGTAAAAATGAATCTATCAACACAAGTTAATTTGTTCTCCTTCGAAGCGAAGATCTCCTTCACAAAACGTGAAGACAGATGAGATAATTTTCATGCAACGAGGCTGATCAGACAGAAGCGTGAAGCGCTAAAGGAGCTGGAAGCTTAATGCGAACAGTCAAGCTTGACAACCAGGTTAAAAACAACAACAGCAACAACAACAACAAAAGCAGTCACGTTTCGCAACTAACATTTGATCAACAGCAGGGGTGGGTTCTAAATTTTTTTACTACTGGTTCTGTGGGTGTGGCTTATTTTGTGGGCGTGGCTTGATGGTCATATGACAATTCTTTAGGATTTAGCAGAGGTACTGGTCTACCAGGCTTTTAACTGCTTGCAGAGCTGTACCGGGCTACTCATGTATTTTTGCAGGCACTGGTCTACCCATTTATTTCTGCAGGCACCGGTTTACTCATTTGTTTTCTTTTAACACTGATCAGCTGTCGGGCGGCCCTTTGAAGCCCCGCGGCAAGAGTTTAAACAGTTTTTTTCCTTCTAGCCATCAGCTGGGACTCAGGAGGCAGCAATAGATTGGGGATGGGGCCAAATAAAAGGTAAGAATAATGCAGGGAGTGGGGGGGGCGCGGGGGGACCCCCAGAACTGGTTCAGTGACATCATATCGTCACCGCTACCCGCTCAGCAGAACCGGGCAGGACCGGGAGGAACCCACCACTGACCAACAGGTAAGCCAAACTAGGCTGGGAATCCCTCTGTGGATATTATATGAGTAACTTTTTAAAACGTCTGTCTCCATTCTAGCCGACAATCTTTGACCAGCAGCATCTTATCCAAATTAATCTAGTTCATAATAATTAATCCAAATTTATCCAGTTCATAGTTAAGAAAAGTGCTGATTTTTCAAAAATTCAAAAGATTTGCAAGATACCAGAGCCAACGGCAGATAACTTTCTTCCTATGCCGAAGCCTAGAAAAATGGAGACATTTTAAGGCCCAAATACTTCCTGCCATACAAGTAGAAATAAAAGCAGCAGAGCAGGCAAGGCGTTTGATAATCTTGGCAGCGATCCGTTTTTTTGGAGGAGAACCTGCAAATATGTGATACTGAACATTCCTGGCAGCTTCCTGAGCGACTGGTTTTTTTTTTTTTCCCCAGAAAAAAAATTTCTAACCCGTGTGGATGTGAAAACGGGCTCGAAAGCAGGCAGACAACACTTAACGGAATCACCAAAGCCAAATACGTGATTAATTTCAAAAGCTAAGCAAGAGCTGAGGAAGTCAGACGCCACGGGCAGAAATGGAGAGTTGGACAAAGATCCAGAATTCTGGATTTTGCCGGCCAGATATATTCTCTGTTCACATCATAAAAGCTGACTCAAGCCGTGCCACTTCGGTTACCACAATCTTCAGGGTTAAAACAGTAAAGCAGATAGACAACAATAAAAGTTCCATCCCAATAAAAGGTTCACCCTTGTCTCTACAGCAGGGGTGAAATGCTACTGGTTCGCACCGGTTCGGGTGAACTGATTGTGGTGGTGGCTGGTACTTTGTTGAACCAGTAGCAGCAGCAGCACGAGACTCTGCCCACCCGCCCGGATGTCGTTACTTCTTGGTTTTAACCAGGAAGTAACCAGGAGTGAAATGCTCCCGGATTGGACTGGATTGCCCGATCCGGCAGCGATCTTGGCCGGTGGTTTGGCGATCTGGTAGCAATGGCGGAGCAAAACTCAGCCCACCCGCCCGGGTGTCATTACTCCCCGGTTTTAATGAGAATCTTATCAGTAAATATCTTTGAGAAATAAGGATGGTCAATGAAATAAACTCATCTCCAAATCCCCACTCATGTTGTTTCAATTGTTATGTTTCAACCAAATCCCTACGCTTCTCACTCTTTCTCTCTTTACCCAAAAAACTGTGGCCAGGTTTGTCCTCCATCACACGGATACGTCGAGCTCCAGCAGGGATCACGGCTGCTTCGATATAACCTACAACCAAGAAAAGGAATATATGAGCCACAGAATATCCCCAAGTAAATTCCCAGGGAAACTGACAAGTGGCCTTGGTGGCTAAGTACGCAGCCCTTACAGTTTGGAGAAAGAAATTCACCGCTCCAACACTCATTCTGAAATTTGGTGAGACGCTGGGCCACACAAATTTCAAAGATGTGAATTATGACTCCAGCGGGAGAAGGAAATGAATGTGCCCACATTTCAAATTCAGTTCCTATGTACCTAAAATTAAAAGATGCAATTAAAGTCCAATTGGTGATATTTGGATTTCTTCGTGTGGATCAGAGCTCTGTTAAAATAATTGTCTTGCTGTTGCAACTTGTTCCATGAATAAAAACTGTTCTAAGAAAGCCCTTTAAGGATATTTCTATTTCTTTTGGCTTCCAACTAATTTGCCGGCCATTTTAATTTGTGGGAAACTTGACTCCGTCCTTCACACATATTCAATCACTGTGGCTGGCAAGCCATAATTTATGCCTTGCCTAACTATGTACCATGCCGGCCTAACCAATTGGTTGATTTAATAAAATAAATTAAAGGTAAAGGTTCCCCTCGCACATATGTGCTAGTCGTTCCCAACTCTAGGGGGCGGTACTCATCTCTGTTTCAAAGCTGAAGAGCCAGCGCTGTCTGAAGACGTCTCCTTGGTCATGTGGCCGGCATGACTCAACGCCAAAGGCACACAGAATGCTGCTACCTTCCCACCAAAGGTGGTCCCTATTTTTCTACTTGCATTTTTTACATGCTTTCGAACTGCTAGGTTGGCAGAAGCTGGGACAAGTAACGGGAGCTCACTCCATTACATGGCACTAGGGATTCGAACCGCTGAACTGCCGACCTTTTGATCGACAAGCTCAGCATTTTAGCCACCGCGTCCCTTATTTATTTTAATATGGCTCAATAAATTATGCTTTTGCATAAGTGGCAAACTAGGGCAATACCTGCTTAAGATAAGCATGAAGAGCATATGATAAAAACTGAATGAACTACATCTACTTCTCCCAAATAATTCAATGAATGCATCGTTGGGAGACTTAACAGAACAATTGGAAAGATAGAAAAAATCTAGCTATGTGGTTGCTAGGAGTTGAAAATAACTCCTATACTCAATCAATCAATCAATCATGCCCATCCTGGCTAGTTAACCTTCCCAGACCTGGTATCCTATTGTGTATCCGGAAGGGACCATATTGGAAAACTTGGATTTGGTTTCTACCAGAAGCATTTCCTATCAAGAGCAATATGATAACAGAGCATCTGTTTCAATAACCATTCCTTGTTTTTGTCTTTTTGTCTTCCCCTTATTAATCTTTCTATGTTACGATCCTCGCCCTGACTACACATTCATTTTTCATTTTCTTCTCCGTTCATTAGTTTACCCAAGAAATAGTTTAATACCGCAGAAAGGAAAACTGAAAAGAGGGTCAATAGAAAATTCAGAGTTAAGAATCTGGCGCCAACATGTTGAGTTCAGCACTGTTATGATTTCAGTGTATCTGACGATCGTCTTGCCTTTAGTGTTAACTATCGTTTTAATCGTTATTACAACCACAGTTATGTAAGTGGTCATAATCCAGGGAAACAGCTGTCTAACATACAGCTTGGGAGCATGAATTTGGAATTGCTCTTATTCAGCGTGTTCAAATTGTATCGAGCCATCACATTCTAAGATAGCAAATTGTAGCTGGCGAATTATTTCCACGGGCCTTCAGGAATTTGAAGGGTTTTCATCCCTTCTGCAGGAAGAGTCGGCATAACAGATGTTCTTTAGCATTTGAGAAATTGAGTATTCTCATACAGTTGTTTCATTAGCAAGCTAAGTAACATCATCATGCCCTAATGATGCATTGATGACGTTACTACATAGCTTGGTAGTAAAATCTCTGCAGGAATCAACCAGCTTCGAGAACACTAAGATCCCAACAGTTCAACCCTAAATTACATATATATTCTTTACTATTGAAAGTCTATATTGTTATACCCTGTTTCCTCAAAAATAAGACCCAACCGGAAAACAAGCCCTAGCATGATTTTTCAGGATGCTCATAATATAAGCCCTACCCCCCAAAATAAGCCCCAGTTAAGATTGTCAGCCAGATGGTGCATTTAGTACTGTATTTCCCTCCCCAAAAATAAACCCTAACCAAAAAATAAGCCCTAATGCATCTTTTGGAGCAAAAATTAATATAAGACCCGGTCTTATTTTCGGGGAAACATGGTATTATTGTAGGGTCTTTTTTAGCTTTAGCTTTATTACTGTTGGAGACCAGTATCTGTTTGGCGCCAGACGTAACTGGAGTGATATACAAACCCAGTAAAATAAATGCTTATATAAATAATAATAATAAAAAACCAATACCGACAGACCCCAAACCAAAAATTATTATCACCGATAAGGTGACATAATATAACAAGACATAGCCAAAGGGAAGATGGTAGAAAGCTGCCTGAAAGTATACATGTCACCAATGTTAGGACAAACTTATGGACATTCTTTAAAAGTACGATTTCAAGACTTTATCCAGAAGTTTAAAGAATTTAAAAAAGTAATCTTTTGTCGGATCCTCCATGGCTTCCAGCTAGACCCAGATTTATACTAAATATTCACTGACTGAACACATCAAAGCAATACCAATATTCAGGAGAAATGAAGAAATCAATCCCAATGGGAAGAATCTTAATTTATTTCCATATTATAAGCGAAAACCAAATGCAGTCGTTCCAGGAGCTATGCAATTCTGATTTGAATAAAGAGATAGTTAACTAAATTCTGCCTATTGAAATCTTATAGACATTCACTTAAGCACTATTTGCTTCATCTGACTTCATGGGATTTTAGTAAGTAAATGTGGATGTATGTCTATGGAGATTCTCAGTCATCCAGGTCAGTGGTGAAATGTAAAATTTGTTACTACCGGTTCTGTGGGTGTGGCTTGGTGGAGGGGGGAGTAATGTGACTGGGTGGGTATGGCCAACTTTTTTTTTTTTTTACTTTTAAAAACATTTTTTCTACAACCTCTTCAGGCCGAAGAGGTTGTAAAAAAAATGCTTTCAAAAGGCTCTGACGATCCCAGCTGAGTTGCCGGATCGGCAGAGGCTTTTTTTCTTTTAAAAGCTCTGACGATCCCAGCTGAGCTGCCTGATCGGCAGAGGCTTTTTTTTTCTTTTAAAAATATTTTTTCTACAACCTCTTTGGCTGAAGAGGTTGTAAAAAAACACTTTTAAAAGCCTCTGATGATCCCAGCTGAGCTGCACGATCATCATCAGCTTTTTTTTTTACTTTTAAAAGCATTTTTTCGACCGAAGAGGTTGTAGAAAAAATGCTTTTAAAAGTAAAAAAAAAAGGCCTCTGATGATCGTGCGGTCCAGCTGGGCATGGGGGGGGGCCCACAGGGATTTTTGCTACCGATTCTCCGAACCACCGGCCGCCATCGCTCCCGGATTGGGCGATCCGGTCCGAACCGGGAGCATTTCACCCCTGATCCAGGTCATGGTTGTCCCAAAGAGTTTTTTTCCCCCTCAAAGGCAATTGTACTTTTTTTTGTTTTTCCTTGAAGAGGTTTCACTTCTCCTCCAAGAAGCTTCTTCAGTTTTCTTTTTCAGTTCTCAGCTTCTTGGAGGAGAAGCGAAACCTCTTCAAGGGAAAACCAAAAGAGTCCAGAGTTCCCTTTTGAAAAAGCACCTTTGGGACAAGTAGATGTGGCATTAACAAATTATTTACCAAATACAATGCTATCTCTTATACCACTAGACTCCTGGGGTTTTGACTTTCTTTTTACCCTTATAAATTAATGGAAATCAATTTCTCAGCATTTAGAGAAATGTGAGTCTTGATACAGTCTCTCACCCAGGGGTGGGCTTCAAAAATTTTAGCAAGGGGTTCTCTGCCCGGTTGCTGGGTGGGCATGGCCATGGTGGGCCTGGTCTAGTCAGCCTCCTGCACCACAGGGGGATGGGGCTTGTTGCCCTCCCAAGGCTCCCGAGTCTTTTCTCAAGCCTCTGGGAGGGCAAAAACAACCTCCCTAGGCTCCGGAGGCCCTCTGGAGGCCACAAACGGCCCATTTCCAGTCTTCCAGAACTTCAGGTAGGCCTGTTTTTTGCCCTCCCCAAGCCTCCGAGTGTGCCCTGCATTTGCCTGCATCCAAAACGGGCCGCGTGGGGACTCCTGGGAGGGAAGGGGCGGGGGGAACAGCCATGAGTGGGATTGGGAGGGTTCTCCTAACTGCACAAAATCTTAGCTAGAGGTTCCATGCGAACCCCCAGCAGCCCACCCCTGCTCTCACCATTTGCAAGCCACCACTCCCTTAGCAGTCTGCAAATGTAGCAGGGAATCCAGAAAGATCAGTAAATTTCAATTTACTGAAATGACCACACACAAAAAAAAACTCTACGACAATTAACTTGTTCTCAACTTTCAGTAGAATCTGCTTCATTCCTTTCGACGCTGATTCCAGAGAGACAGTGAAGACAACTGTGCTACAACAGAATACCAGGCTCCATTCTTTTTAGGTTCCATTCCAATCCATTGAGCTCAAAATAATTTCAGATCGAACAATCAGGTGTCCAAAGTCCCCTGGGAACTCTTCGTTATTTGTTCATTCGTGGTATTACATGCAAGTGCACTCCATCTCAGGAACAATTCTCTCTTTTCTGGCACACAATCCTTTCTGTCTCGCCTGCGTTACATCAAGGCCTCAGGAATGCACAACTGGGCTTGAAGAGAATGGGGCGTTAAAATTATATCGCAAGGGCTCACATGAGGGGAGACACCTGAGCCGATGGGAAGAGAGCGGAGTGAAGGGGACAAAAAAGATTGCCTTTATCCCTGTGAAGGTTCACAGAGGGAGAACAGCTGGTGCTGTGCCTTCCCTGAGATATCTGGAAAGAACTAGTGAGCAACCGTTTCCTTCAGTCTTTGATACCGTCATTCTGGTTTGTTTGTTTGTTTGCCTCTAGCCACGGAGTCCTTGGAGGAAAACCATCACAAGAAAATAATAGAGTTGGAAGGGACCGTGGAGGTCTTTTAGTCCAATCTCCTACTCAGGCAGGTGACTCTATACCACCGGTAGTAAACCTTTTACTCACCAAGTGCCGAATAGATAGCTATTGATAAGCCAGTTGGCTCTTAAGAGAATCATGCAAACTTTTTTGGGGGGGCCATGGTCGTTAAGCAACTAACTACAACCATTAAGTGAATTATATGGTTGTTAAGCAAATCCAGCTTCCTCCATTGACTCTGCTTGCCAAAAGCCAGCTGGGAAGGTCACTAACGGGGATCACATGACCCTGGGATTATTCAACTATTGTAAATACATGCCGGGTGCCAAATTCAGTGCCTGAATTTGAGCACGTATCCATGGGAATGCTGTGGATAATCCTAGAACAAGGTCTGGCCATAAGTCAGATTTTTTTCAGTGCCATTGTCACTTTGAAAGGTTACTAAAAGAAAAAAAAAATCATAAGTCAAGGATTTCCTGTAGAGTTAACCCCACTTGTGCTAAAAGTTAGAATTATGGAGGAGCCCATTCATCAGAAAATGAATGTCCAATTGAATTCAATTGAGCTCAATAGATGGCAACAGTTATGGGAAAGGAAGTATAAACTAACAATGTCCACTGCATATAAAGAGAATCAATATAAAATGTTTTATAGATGGCATGTGCCTCCGGAAAAATTGGCAAAAACGTTTAAAGACAAATCAGCTAAACGTTGGAAATGCCACCAAATACCAGGATCTTATTATCATATGTGATGAACATGCCTAGAAGCTAGAAACTATTGGAGCAGAATTAAGACATGGTTAGAAGAAATGATCCAACAACATATTAATTTAAAACCTGAGCTGTTCCTATTGGATATATTACCAGAGAAAATTAGTAAAGAAAATATATACTTGATTATACATATAATAACGGCAGTGAGGTAGTATTTGCATAAAGATGGAAAGAAAAGAAAATCCCTTTGGAAGGGGAAGTAATTAAGAAAATGAATGTCCAAGATGCATTTTTCCACCCCGAGAAGTCAGTGAAAAGATTCATATAAAGAAAGGACACGGACAACAAAAGAGCTTTGAAATATATCCACAGCTTCTCCTTTGAGTAGGATGCCATGTCGGCATTTCAAGTCAACCAAAGAACACAGAGGAAAACCCAACACCAAGAGAGGATCTATCTCCCAGCACCATAGAAAGCAACCGAGGCATCTTACACGAGAAACACTTGGGCACTGCCTTGGTCCTGGCCATCACACAGGTGGAAACCTTCTTACATTGACTATTGGAGACTAAGAAGAAGAAGGAGGGGAAAAAGGGAATTGGCACATGTTTAGTTACACCAGCAGGGAATGTTTGCACAAGTCAGCAGTCAGCAGAAATAATCTTTCTTCAGGACAACCCAATCAGCAGCGGGAGACAATTTTCCTCGCAACAGCTCTCTGATATCTATTACAAAGCAATTCTCTTTGGGGAACTGGCTAACTTGGACACAGAACAGCAAATCTGAATGAAACAAAACAGCCCAGTACTCTAATAGGACTCGGTGGCACCTTGACAAGAAACTCATTTCAAAATATATAAATAACCCATCGCTTCTCTACTTTTTTGGCGAAGGTCACGTGGGTTTATAAATAACCCGTTTTGTTCAAGTTCAGTTATGATTCTCAGGGTGGCTTGTTTTCCATGGGACAGCAAAACAATATGTGTGCATCAAGTTATCACATGCAACCCAAAATAGAAAAATAGTGGAAAAGGGTCAGCAATGATTGGCAATTAACATCATCAGCATATTTTAAAAAATGAAAAGACCCAGCCCCTGTTACTTTAACTAGGGTAGCAAAGGGAACAGGCAAGTGAGGAAGGGGACAAATGAATTAAAAAAAAGAAAATAGAAAAGAAATAGAAATAGAAATAGAAATAGATATAGGCATAGGCATAGGCATAGGCATAGGCAAGAATAGAATAGAATAGAATAGAATAGAATAGAATAGAATAGAATAGAATAGAATAGAATAGAATAGTAGAAGAATAGAATAGAATAGAATAGAATAGAATTCTTTATTGGCCAAGTATGATTAAAGGTAAAGGTTCCCCTCGCACATATGTGCTAGTCGTTCCCGACTCTAGGGGGCGGTGCTCATCTCCGTTTCAAAGCCGAAGAGCCAGCACTGTCCAAAGACGTCTCCATAGTCATGTGGCCGGCATGACTAAACACCAAAGGCGCACGGAACGCTGTTCCCTTCCCACCAAAGGTGGCCCCTATTTTTCTACTTGCATTTTTTACATGCTTTCGAACTGCTAGGTTGGCAGAAGCTGGGACAAGTCACGGGAGCTCACCCTGTTACGCGGCACTAGGGATTCAAACCGCTGAACTGCCAACCTTTTGATCGACAAGTTTAGTGTCTTAGCCACTGAGCCACCGCACCACCACGTCCCTTTAGAGTAGAGTAGAGTAGAGTAGAGTAGAGTAGAGTAGAGTAGAGTAGAGTAGAGTAGAGTAGAATAGAATAGAATAGAATAGAATAGAATAGAATAGAATAGAATAGAATTCTTTATTGGCCAAGTGTGATTGGACACAAGGAATTTGTTTCCGGTGCATAATCTCTCAATGTACATACAACAATAGTGATAAACAACAAAGTTATAGTCATAATAAGATAAGGAGATAGGGAATAGGGAAGACGAGAATAATGATGGCAATATTGCCTTTTCAGATAGTTTGACAGTGTTGTGGGGATTAGTTGTTTAGCAGAGTGATGGCATGGGGGAAAAACTGCCCTTGTGTCATACAGAAAAAAATGGGTTTCCTATGCCAGCCGTGGCATTAAAAATGTTCCTTCCATGTTTATGGAATTCTGTCATTCAAATCAGGTAAGTTATTCCTAGATGATCTTCGCCTGCTCAAAACTGATAAAAGTGCTGACACAGAACATAGAATCATTGGGCTGGAACTGATATTGGGGGTCTTAAAGTCCAACCCTATATCCAAAGCAGGAGGCGTTATATTATCCTGGACAAATAGTTGTCTCATCTTTTCTTGCAAGCCTCCAATGATGGAGCACCCACCACTTTCAGGGGCAAGCCATTCCATTGATTAATTGTTCTCACTGTCAGGAAATTTCTTCTTAGTTCTAGTTTGGATCTCTATCCTTACATATCCTCTAACTTTCTATCCTTACTTCTTCTCCTGCCCTCGAGCGCTTTGGAGAATAGCTCAACCCTCTCTTCTCTGTGATAGCCTCTAAAGTTCTAGAAGAACTTGCCTGCAATTACTGCAAGTTCAAATCTCACCAGGCTCAAGGTTGACTCAGCCTTCCATCCTTCCGAGGTAGGTAAAATGAGGACCCGGATTGTGGGGGCAATAAACTGACTTTGTATAAAAAAAGAATACCGCTTTGGGGGGGCCAAAAAGCCCTACTAAGCAGGTACATAAAAAGCATGAAGGCTATTGCTTAACGCATTGTAAGCCGCCCTGAGTCTCCGGAAAAGGCGGCATATAAATCGAACCAATAACTAACTAATAAACTAAATAAATAAATAAATAAATAAATAAATAAATAAATAAACAAACAAACAAACAAACAAACAAACAAACAAGTTATCATATCTCCCCTAATCCTTCTCTTCGATAGGCTCTCTCAACCTTTTGTCGTATGATTCAGCCACCAGACCCTTTATCATCTTAACGTGGTTAATTATGGCTTATCCTCATAACACAGTTATGCCAAATGCTGAATGGTGTGGTGGCCTAGAGGGTGGAGCTCTCGCCTCACAATCAGTGAGTTCGATCCTAGGTAGAGGCAGATATTTCTCTCTCTGGGCACAATGAGACGACGTCTGCTGAACAAAACTCTGCATTGGTGACAGGAAAGGCATCCGGCCAGTAAACACTCAGCTCCATTCAGTTGCCCAGATTCCACCCCCGCAAGGGATTATGGGGTCATTAAAAGAAGATGATGATGTGTTATGCCAAATTAGGATCTTCCAGTCCTCCTAAGTGCAAAAATTACTCACCCATCCCTTTCGTATGGTTGAAGTCACCTTTCACCACTTTGCAGCTTTTCCCATTTCCGTTACAAATGCCACAGTGATCTTCTTTGGCAGAGGATCCAATGATCCCATCACAGCCGATTTTCTAATGGGGATCAAGAGGGGTTTTTTTTCCCGTTATTGTCATAACAAAAAGAGATTTTTAGATATTTAATCTCCTTTAGAGATTTCTAAAGGAGGGTAAATCCTGGATACTCATTTGAAGGACAATTTCAGAAATAAAGGTAATTGTCAACTTACAACTGCTACAGATACCAGATTTTATATTCCTAAGCAAGGCAATTAAGTGAGTCGCATCTGATTTTACAACCTTTTAACCTAGTTATTAAGGAAACCACTGTGGTTCTTAAGTCATTAACCAAATCCACCTTTTCCAATTGATTTCACTTGTTGGAAGCTGGCTGGAAAGGATTTAAATGGTGATCAAATGACTATGGCACACTGCAACTGGCATACATATACGTCAATTGCTAAGGGAAGGATACTGTAAAATCTCCATTCCTACCCCATTCCAGGAGAAGTATACTGTAAAATCTCCCTCCTCCCTCCAGGGGAAGGTTACTCAAAATTTCCATTTCATCCCAATCAGCTGGGATTTGGGAGGCAGAGAATAGATGGGGGCGGGGCCAGTCAGAATTTTTACTACCGGTTCTCCAAGCTACTCAAAACATCCACTACCGGTTCTCCAGAACTTATCAGAACCTTCTGAAACCCATCTCTGCTTCCCTCCACTGATTATGACCTTACCCAACATTGCTATGTGGCCACAGCAGAATAACTCTGAAGAAATACAGCCTAAACAGATCAAAAGAGCCTTGGTAGTACAGTGGTTTAAAGCACCCTGTTATTAACACAGCTGCCTGCAATTACTGCAGGTTCAAATCTCACCAGGCTCAAGGTTGACTCAGCCTTCCATCCTTTCTAAGGTAGGTAGGTTAAATGAGGACCCAGTTTGTGGGGGCAATAAGCTGACTTTGTATAAATATACAAAAGTATGAAGGCTATTGCTTAACGCATTGTAAGCCGCCCTGAGTCTCCGGAGAAGGGCGGCATATAAATCAAATCAAATTTTTTTTTAAAAAAAAGTTACTTATCTGGGTTCAGGATATTCAGCACAGAATCCCGTTTCTTGTATTTTGGGATCTGCAAGCAATTTCAAACTACATGGGGCAATTCCCATTAAATGTTCTATCAGCTCAAAAGCGTGAAATCGATCAGGGCTTTTGGCTTAACTCCCCTATATTATTTTTTTTAAAAGTTATGTCATTTCTCTTGACACACAATCTGAATTTTTACCCAAATACCGATAGGGTGCTTTCAACAAAGCTTTTTAAAATTCCTCAGGGAAAGAGCCCATCCATAGCTTTGGGTGTTACTTCACTAGCACAACTGTAATTACTGCCTCATGTAAAAAAATAAAAATATGACAATGTCCTTTCATAGAGTACTATAATGCTTCCCGTATGCTCAGCCTGCCATAGCAGATAGTATATAAATATAAATATTGCCGTTGTTAAGTGTCATTCTGAAATTTGATCGTGCCAAGATGATATCACTGTAGCAAATTCTTCCAACTGTCAACACTTGTTCACACTCTAGTAATCATATAGAGCAGGGATTCTTAAACTTTTTGCTCTCAAAATCCCTTTCCATTTTTAAAAATTATAGAGGATTTCAAAAGAACTTCTGTTCTTTTTGTATAGGATCTCTCTCTCTCTCTCTCTCTCTCTCTCTCTCTCTCTCTCTCATCTCTCTATTATCTATCTATCTATCTATCTATCTATCTATCTATCTATCTATCTATCTATCTATCTATCATCTATATCTATCATCTATCATCTATCTACCAGTTTCTATCTATGGGTATCTATCTATCTATCTATCTATCTATCTATCTATCTATCTATCTATCTATTCTATCTATCTGGATGCAGTGTCTCAGTGGGTAAGACACTGAGCTTGTCAATCAAAAGGTTGGCAGTTCAGCGGTTTGAATCCCTAACGGGGTGAGCTCCCGTTCCTTGTCCCAGCTTCTGCCAACCTAGCAGTTCGAAAGCACGTAAAAAATGCAAATAGAAAAAATAGGGACCACCTTTGGTGGGAAGGTAGCAGTGTTCTGTGTGCCTTTGGCATTGATTCATGCCAGGCCACATGACCATGAGACGTTTTCGGACAGAGTGGCTCTTCGACTATTGAGAGATGAGCAGAGAGAGAACAACTGCACGAGGAACTTTATCTTTATCTATATCTATCTTTCTATCATCTATCTATCTATATCTATCTATCTATCTATCTATCTATCTATCTATCTATCTATTATTATCTTTATTCATTAAATATGAAACTCAGTCAACTGAACATCCAAAAATGCATCACAAATACCACTGACTGGTGCTAATGGTTGATACGGGTTGCTGCCAGCGTCCTAGGTATCAACCAAGTACCTTCTTAAGATGTACGATGTTCCAAGTAGCACATTTTTTTTCCAGTTCCACTGTGTTATTGCAAGAACTGCAATTTGCTGATGTGTGTTGTAGAATTCTTGGACAAGTACCAAGTGCTCCAATGACAATTTAACTGTTACATGTTTTCATTGTTGTTGTTGTGTTGTTGTTGTTGTTGTTGTTGTTGTTGTTATCATCATCTTTATTATCTATCTATCTATTCATCCATCTATCTACAACATCAAGAGATATTTACCATATAAAAAATTACAATTGACCTTCAGACAATATTTATTTACTGAATCATGTAAAAATAACAATAAAAACCCATTAGATATTAACATAAATAAAAGTTGTTGCAGAGAGGCCTACAAAAGAGCTCAGAGCACATATAGAAATAGTATAATGGAATAGAAATTATGTAACGGAGGTAAAAATGACTGATGCAAGCAACAAGGCAAGGATTCCACTAATAAAATTTGGTAGCCATTTGAATTAAAGTCACGGAATACATTAATTTCTCTAACAAAAAGAGTCATTTGGCAGATGGGCATCCATACAAATTGAATGAATGAATGATGATGAATGAATGAATAAAGATATCTGTTCTTCAAATACTAAGCAGGAATGCAAACTAGGGAATACTACAGTAGTGGCCAAAAAATTGTGGAAAATTTTTTGGAAAAGTGTATTTTTGAGAGTTTGAGGCTACCACTCTTTTTTTTTTTTTTTTTTTTTTGAGTTTCAAGATAATCCTATTCCACTGGAATATCCCTGAATAATAACCCAGACCAATCAAAAATCTAATGGAGCCAACTAAGAAACTTGTTAGTCAGAACGACCCAGCAATAAAACCCAGATAAAGCCATCATCCATCTCATCACATTTTCACATTAAACAGCTGCAGAACTAAAAGACTTGGTTCACCCTGGAAAACGTTGTAACGTAATTCATGCTAAAGGTTAACTAAGTATTTTACGTGCTGATAATTTTTGTATACATTTTTTCTATTTTGATATATTTTTTTTTTTTTTTTTTTTTTCTGATTTTTTTTTTTTTTTTTTTTTTATTGTTACTTTTTTTTTTTAATTATATCCTGTAAAAAGTTATTGCATTACATTCTTGATTCAATTATCTTTTTTCCAATTAATTTTATTTTACTACTTTTAAAAAATAAATAACTAGTAAAAAAAAGTAGTTTTAAAAAAATAGTTTTTCCCAATTTTTTCCAAAAGAATCCACACTACTTTTCCCAAGATATCCTTTTTCCTTTCATTTTTTTTTTTTTTTTTTATATTTCCAAAATTTGAATTTGAATTTTTGAAAATAAGCACACCTAGTTGGAAGACAGACAAACAGCAACAACAAATATCTTTTTGCCTCTGAATATCCTACTCATTGAAAAAAAGGAATCTTCAAGACACAATCCTATATAATCATTATCTCTTCTTTGATGCTGGAGAGAAAAATTGTTAGAGCAAACTGCCAACAATTGGCAGAATTGAAAAAGTTATTTAGAGAAGTCCAATGGTTTGCCCATCCCTGGGAGAAATTTACTCTCCTGCTCTTGAGGCATTCTGCAAATTTTCTGAAGCTGTCCCCAGTTTAAAAAAAATAGTTTGCTATAGGGTGGAACAGGCTAATACTTGTCAAATATGTCAGCAACCTCTTTGGGCACACAGAACTGTCTGGATAATTATTTGTACCTTGGCTATTCTTAAGTGGATGAAAATGGGAAAATTGCCAAGTGCTTATCTAATGTCAATTTTTAAAAAATTTTTTTGGAGTGTGTTGAAAGTGGTTTGAGAATGGGGTTTTTCTTCCTAGGGTATGAACTTCTATTTCTTTTATCCCTTCTGTTCTAACCAACCTTAGCAGGCTTCTTACAGGATAAGAACAAGAGAACACACACAATAGGGCAGAAAATTTACTCGTTTTTTCCTTCAGTTTTAATATCTTCAGATGAAACATAAAGAAAACATATCTTATAGACCATTGATCCACTTAATATTGTGAACCACATTGCTTTCTTTTGGAGGTATGCCCTCCTATCTAGAAAAAAATATAGGCAATGAAAGGTACTTGAGAGCATCTAAGTAGGCTTCTGGGAGTAGAAGGAAGCAACCATATGTTATGATATAAACCATACGATGAATGATTGATGGAACTAGGTGTCTAGCCTATCAAAGAGGAGGACTAGGGGTGATATGATAGCTGTCTCCCTGTATTTGAGGTGCTGTCACAGAGAAGAGGGAGTTGACTTATTCTCCAAAGCTCCTGGACGCAGAACAAGAATAATAGGTAGAAGATTATCCAAGAGAGATCCAATTTAGAAGCAAGGAGAAAAGATGGGGAGACTCTAGAAAAGAGAAGAGCCACAAAGATGATTAGGGGACTGGAGGCTAAAACATATGAAGAACGGTTGCAGGAACTGGGCATGGCTAGTTTAATGAAAAGAAGGACTAAGGGAGACATGATAGCAGTCTTCCAATATCTCAGGGGCTGCCACAAAGAAGAGGGAGTCAAGCTATTCTCCAAAGCACCTGAGGGCAGGACAAGAAGCAATGGGTGGAAACTAATCAAGGAGAGAAGCAATCTAGAACTAAGGAGAAATTTCCTGACAGTTAGAACAATGAATCAGTGAAACAACTTGCTTCCAGAAGTTGTGAATGCTCCAACACTGGAAGCTTTTAAGAAGATGTTGGATAACCATTTGTTAGAAGTGGTGTAGGGTTTCCTGTCTAAGCAGGACTAGAAGACCTTCAAGGTCCCTTCCAACTCTGTTATTTTCTATTCCTGACAATGAGAACAATGCATCAGTGGAATGACTTGCCTCTAGAAGTTGTGAGTGCTCCATCACTGGAGGTTTTCAAAAAGAGATGGGCAGCCATTTCTCCAGAATAGTATAGGGTCTCTTGCTTGAGCAGGGGATTGGACTGGAAGACCTCCAAGGTCCCTTCCAACTCTATTATTCTATGTTTTATGTTAACTTCACCACTCTGCTTTCATAAATGAGTGTTTCATGGCTGCCGAATCCACCATGTCTGCAAAATTATGAACAGGCAACTTCCCTGGATCACAGGGATTTTGTCAGAGTTCTCACCACAGAATCTAAACATGTCCACCAGCACACTGGCAGAGCATAGGATTCCTATGTGTAGAAAGTCCTGGGTTAAGACACTGATATTTTCTGGGTTTTTTAAAAACAAAATAACGTAATTAGTGATATGAACTTTGAGATTTTTTCCAATGGATTCAATAGGTCAACCAGCCATCTGCTGAGCTGAGGGAAGGCACTTCCTACGTTTGACATTCTGTCTCTCCTAGTCACTGCAAGAGATTTCTGTGGGACCAGGTTGGGCTTCCTGTCTTGGACATGCCAATGTAATGTGCAAGTTGATAAAGGTACTTGCCATCATTCTGTTTCCTGTACTAGTTCCCCACCCCAAAACACTGAATTTAGCAGAGCAACACTGCCAGTCTCTCATCAACAGGGAATTCAAGATGTTTCTCCTCTAAGAAACTCCTCTTTGAGTTCAAATGAGGGACCTTCAAAGAAAAGCAAATCTAGGGTATCTGTAGTGACCATGATTTTGCTATCACAAAATTCCTCCTGAATTGTAATAGGTGCCAAACCTCAATTTTGCAAAGGTTTTCTATATACAGTATTTTCCATCATGTTTAATACAAAGCTCAAAGCATTTTTTTGAAACTCTGGTTCTTAGTGCTTGGTTCTTAATGCCTTCCAATTTATAATGAAACTATTAAAAGATAACACCATCCATTTCTAAAGGTAAAGGTTCCCCTTGTACATATGTGCTAGTCATTCCCGACTCTAGGGGGCGGTGCTCATCTCCGTTTCAAAGCCGAAGAGTCAGTGCTGTCCAAAGACGTCTCCGTGGTCATGTGGCCGCCATGACTCAATGCCCAAAGGCGCACAGAATGCTGTTACCTTCCCACCAAAGGTGATCCCTATTTTTCTACTTGCATTTTTTACGTGCTTTCGAACTGCTAGGTTGGCAGAAGCTGGGACAAGTAACGGGAGCTCACCCCATTTCGTGGCATTAGGGATTCGAACTGCTGACCTTTCGATCGACAAACTCAGTGTCTTAGCTGCTGAGCCACCGCATCCCTTTTCTATTTCTATCCATTTCTTGCACATAGCAAAAAAATGACAAAAAATCTTGGAATCCTACAATGAGGACATATAGCAACTGAATGTCTGTATCAGTTTTTTTCCATCTAGAAGTAAGGGGAATAGTTACTTACTTTATTCCATAGCTACAGCCTTGCATTTTTTCCATAAATATGATTAAACTATTTGCTTTCAGTGGCTTTCATCCCTTTCATGAAACTCAGGATCACAGTATATTTAGATGTTAGTTCAGATGAAATAGCGAACAATAAAAAATTACTCCACCTGGCACTTGCCATGAACACAGAGGTCAGTCTCATAAGGTCCACAGGGTGTACCATCAATGACCCTATCGGACACCAACACAGGAGAGTCTTTCCCAAACGGAGAGCAATATAGCTCACAAGGTTTTTCTGAAAGAGAAACAACAGATGATATTACCCACTTCAGATCACGAAACGTCTACAAGAAAACCACTGAGCTCAGAGAGCACCAAAGATTCCACAGTTGAACCCAGAGCTACAAATATTCTCTTCTATTGTAACAACAACAGAGGAATAGAATAGAATAGAGGAGAGGAGAGGAGGGGAGGAGAGGGGAGGGGAGGAGAGGAGTGGAGAGGAGTGGAGTGGAGTGGAGTGGAGTGGAGTGGAGTGGAATGGAATGGAATAGAATAGAATAGAAATAGGAATAGAAATAGAAATAGAAATAGACATAGGCATAGGCGTAGAGTAGAGTAGAGTAGAGTAGAGTAGAGTAGAGTAGAGTAGAGTAGAGTAGAGTAGAGTAGAATAGAATAGAATAGAATAGAATAGAATAGAATAGAATAGAATAGAATAGAATAGAATAGAATAGAATAGAATAGAATAGGAATAGAATAGAATAGAATAGAATTCTTTATTGGCCAAGTATGATTAGACACAAGGAATTTGTTTCCGGTGCTTAAGCTCTCAATGTATATACAACAATAGTGATAAGCAACAAAGTTATAGTCATAAGAAGATAAGGGGATAGGTAATAGGGAAGATGAGAATAATGATGATAATATAGACTAACAGAGTTGGAAGGGACCTTGGAGGTCTTCTAGTCCATCCCCCTGCTTGGCAGGGAACCCTATACCACTTCAGACAACATCTTCTTAAAAACTTCCAGTGTTGGAGCATTCACAGCTTCTGGAGGCAAGTTGTTCCACTGGTTAATTGTTCTAACTGTCAGGAAATTTCTCCTTAGTTCTAAGTTTTCTCCTTGATTAGTTTCCACCCACTGCTTCTTGTCCTGCCCTCAGGTGCTTTGGAGAATAACTTGACTCCCTCTTCTTTGTGGCAGCCCCTCAGATATTGGAGCACTGTTATCATGTCTCCCCTAGTCCTTCTTTTCATCAAACTTTTCATTAAACTAGTCCTTCTTTTCATTAAACTAGAGATACCCAGTTCCTGCAACCGCTCTTGATATGTTTTAGCCTCCAGTCCCCTAATCATCTTTGTTGCTCTTCTCTGCACTCTTTCTAGAGTCTCCACATGTTTTTTACATCATGGCGACCAAAATTGGATGCAGGATTCCAAGTGTGGCCTTACCAAGGCTTTACAAAGTAATATCCTTATGGGATTTTAAATTTGATCAACACCAGAAGCCTAACGCACTAGACCAAACAATATTTGGTTGTCTGATGTATGTTTCCCAAGGGACTGTTACGTTGAAGTCAAGAAATTGGAAAAAAATTACATAATACTGAGATTTGCAAGTAGAAACTATAAAGAGTGAAAAGTTTATATTCTTTTCTATTTACATGTGTAAGTATTTTGACTGAGTAGTACTTTTTGCTTTGACTTCAAGGGTACATCTGAGATCTCTTTCTGTCAATTTCTCTTCCTGATTCCTCAAGAAGGCTTGTGATATTGAATGGACTCAAACCCACATCAAGCTTTCTCGAAACCCAGAATTATCTTGCAAAACAAGTGCTCAGAGATTCTTGGACTTCCATGAATATAGTTTAGAATGGGGGTCAGCAACCTGCGGCTCTGGAGCCGCATGTGGCTCTTTTATCCGTCTGCTGCGGCTCCCTGTCGCTCAAAATACGCGTCACAACTGCCAATGTGCGACACCCACTGACGCGCAATTTATTAAGCTTTTTGACCCCCGGTGGGCCAACCATGGATAAATCCAAGAAAAGAAAAGTTTCAGAAGAAAACAGAATCTTTAATTCAACTACATATGCTAGTTTTGTGGCTGCTCAGGAAATAGGCACTGGAAGAGTTTTGTGGCTCCCAGTGTTTTCTTTTCTGTGGGAAATGGGTCCAAATGGCTCTCTGAGTGTTTAAGGTTGCCGACCCCTGGTTTAGAAAGATTTCCTTTCTGAGGCCTCGGAGAAATTCAGAAGCTGAAGGATAGCAAAGAAATAGGAGCAATATTTCACCTATGGACTTTCATCTTCATCATCTGGCCTTCTAAAGAGCAGTCAGGGTTGATCTCCTCTAGGACTGACCGGTTTGATCGCCTTGCAGTCCAAGGGACTCACAGGAGTCTTCTCCAGCGCCAGAGTTCAAAGGCCTCCATTCTTTGGTGCTTAGCCTTTCTTATGGTCCAACTTCTAGATTGTGCATTGAGTACCAAACAAACGATGACCACCGGGATAAATTTTTCACATCAAAATGCGTTGAGTACCAAATTCGATGAGTTTCAAAGCAGTTGAGTACCAAGGTACCACTGTCTACAAAACATAGTGTTTTCATCTGCTGAAACTTACCATCCACGATGACAGCCGTCCATAAACTTTTCTTCTTGTTGGTCGAGCGGTCCTGAGATTGACACTGTTGATCTCGGAAGGTGGACACTCCTCTAGGACACGGCAAGTTTTCACACACAGTGTGTTCCACACTTGCTCCTTGGCAGTTCTTCCCTCCAGGGCCAGGCCTGTTAAGGGAGAAAAATATAGACAGCTTGCATTGGTTTCTATCCCGTTATCCACAAAAGATTGATGACAGTGGTGAAATCCAAATTTTTTTACTACCGGTTCTGTGGGCATGGCTTGGTGGGCGTGGCTTGGTGGGCGTGGCAAGGGAAGGATACTGCAAAATCCCCATTCCCTCCCCACTCCTGGGGAAAGGATATTGCAAAATCTCCATTCCCACCCCACTCTGGGGCCAGCCAGAGGTGGTATTTGCCGGTTCTCCAAACTACTCAAAATTTCCGCTACCGGTTCTCCAGAACGTGTCAGAACCTGCTGGATTTCACCCCTGGTTGATGGGATACTTTGTAAATAGAGCTTCTTTTTGGACTGTTTTGAAAAGAAAACACAAATTCAAAGCAAAAAAAAAAAAAGGAATTCCTTTGAGATGAATTTGACTTCTGATGATTTCATACACCTTTCTGAAAACATCCATACGGACTAATGAGAATAGCAGCCAGGACAGGGGGGGACAAAAAAGGCAATAAAGACAATAAATCAGGACTTAAAACTACAGAGGGCACAATTCATTCAGGTACGGTCATCCTACCTACCATAGATTGAAAACGAAGAAGAAGTGCTTCACATTTAATACAAACTTGTTTATTTTACATTTTTGAGGCAATTGACAAACTGGAATCCGGTGCTCTTTCCAAACTTGTGCGTTGAAATTTGAAATATTGTTTAGTGATTTAAAACACACACACAACTCAAATTGCGGAAGATCTGTATCAACAAAAGATGAATTCGCGAAAACCAGGACTGCAAATAGCCAAAGTGGCAAGCAAAAAATGGGTGATGCGCAAAGTATGTAAAATACATCTTGCAAATGCTTTTAAGCGACTCGGTTTAGTAAAGAAAGAAGGGGCCAAACGGAATTTATGAATGGAAAAATGAGCAACTAAAAGAAGCTGAGATTGGCAATGCTGACTGTCCTTAATGCAGATTTACAGCCACTGATCATCTGTCCTCAAATCACATTCAGATCCACAAGTTTTACACACACACACACATGTATATGTATATGTATATGTATATGTATATGTATATGTATATGTATATGTATATGTATATATCTATTTTCTTACTTCTTCATAGGGTTTATGTGTGTTTTTCCTCTAGCCAAGTTTTCCCTACGTAACCAAGGTTTTTCTGCAGCACCAGCTCAGTAGAATCACATCCACTCGATTCTGGGCTTTTTTCCTTTCTAGCAGCTAGCAAGCTCTTCCTGCTAGGTGGGAGACCTATATAGATCTATTTCTAGCTCGTTTGCTTTCATCAGTAGGCCACACCCATATCTTATGTATCCTCCCTATAAAGGTATAGTATCTATATAGTATCTTGCTATACTAAAGGTATAGTATCTATATAGTATCTTGCTAGCTGCTAGAAAGGAAAAAAGCCCAGAATTGAGTGTGTGTGTGTGTGTGTGTGTGTGTGTGTGTATACATATACATATACATATACATATACATATACATATACATATACATACATACATACATACATACATACATACATACATACATACATATATATATATATATATATATATATATATATATATATATTGTTGTTGTTATACGCACTTAAGTTTTAAAACAGTCTTAGCTGAGATCGGTAGAGATTTTTTCTGAAGCTTGAATGTAGAACAGAACCATTTTTCAAGAGAGGCTCACAATAACACTTCCCAAACTGTGCCAATTATTCATGGCAGCGATACAGAAGTGGTTTTCCATACTTTCATTCAGGATGTTTTTTTAAAACATCCCAATCCAACTGACACCCTTGGGATTGACTAGTGGCCTCCCATTCAGGCGCTAATAAAATCTGACCTTGCTTAGCTTTTTCAAGATCAGCCAAGGTCATCTGCTAAAATGCAGAGAAGATTTACCAGTCCTAGGAAAGCAAAATGCTGTGGAGGGGGATACTTTGTGACTGACAAACACAATGTGGCCAAGTGCTTACAACGTGCTCTCCAAAAATCATCTGTCAGCCCTTCAAGATAGTCCAGGCAGGAAGCCATGAGTTCTAACACTACCAATATTGTAAGGTTACAATAACAAAAACTTGCAAATCTGAATGCATTTCTCAGCTTTCCCCACTGGTACTTTTCAGAGAACCAAGGGAGGGGGGAGGGTCTCTTTCTAAGATGCTTTCCACTCTCCCATTCCTTCTGTGGGCTGAAATATCTCTTGTCTGACCCCTGTCTAGGCTGTCAATAAAAAAAAATCTAGTCAACTAAAATTCAATACTAAATTGGGACCAGATAAGGGTCAATGGAATTCAAGAGGAGTTGGACTTGGATAGTTTGTGGCAATGTAACGACTCTAAGCTGATGGCATGTTTAACTCCACCCCTCCCCAGCTCTGTCTGCTCTTCGCCTACACTTTGTTAAGTGTAGAGAGTGAGTAAGTGAGAGTGAGTAACTGAGTAACTGAGAGTGAGTAAGTGAGATTTAATTGAGTGGTGAAACGGCTTTCAAATAATAGCTGTGATGGAGACGGGTGTGGTTTGACTTATCCAGAAAATAGCTGCCATTCTGAAACATACAGGAATGAAAACTAAGAAGACTGTTCTTCGTTTTAAGTCCAGACTCTCCAAATGCTTTCTATTGTTTGAAGTACAATTCCAAGTAAAACACTGGGCTTCAGCCTTTACCATGCTTTCTTTTAATTTTCTAAAAATACCTCTGGCCCAAAAGCCTTATTGTAAATAAAAGCAATGGTGCTTTACAGCATGATTGTCCACTATTAAAATCTTCTCCTTCTCCTTCTCCTTCTCCTTCTCCTTCTCCTTCTCCTCCTCCTCCTCCTCCTGCTTCTGCTTCTCCTCCTCCATCTCCATCACCATCACCATCCACATCTCCATCTCCATCTCCATCATCTCCTTCTCCCTCCTCCCTCCTCCTTCCTTCTCCCTTTCTTCTTCTTGAACAGGCATCATATCAGTTACTCCTGAATTAGGTAGCAGAGAAGCAGATGGGCTGGGCTTCCTATGAATACATCTTTCAATGCATCCCTTATATGCCTTAAAGGTTTAGATTTTCATTGGAATGAGTCAACTTACGGAGGGTTGTCACATTTGCGTTGCCTGAATCTGGCTCCAGTTTCACACGTCCGGCTGCACATGCTCCATTGACTCCAGATACTCCAATCACCATCAATGTGTTCAGGGATGGGGGTTTTACTGACACACTCCCCCATTCGGCACCACTAGAATGAAAATAGAAAAATCTTGGTTTGGCTAGTTGAGAACTGCGACGCTTCTCATCGTTCCTATCACCCATCTCCTCCCACTTATGACTGTATGACTGTAACTTTGTTGCTTGTATCCTTATGATTTGTATTGATTGTTTCCTAGTATGATTTGATTACTTATTTGTACCCTATGGCTATCATTAAATAAAAATAAATAAATAAGTAAATAAACTTTATTGTCATTGTATGTGTATACACAGTATACACATACAACAAAATTTACTTGACCCCCAAAGACCAGGTCCCACACACATAATCCCCAAACACACTCCCACCCACCATAATTCCCCACCCCTAAACCACCCAAACATCCATACAACAGACCAAGTAATACTGTCCAACAGCTCACTGATGATGGCCCTTTAGTTCATTGTTGAGTGCAATTATAGCTCTGGGATAAAAACTATTGAGAAAACGTGCGGTCCGAGTTTTAATTGTTCTGTATCTTCTGCCAGAAGGCAACAGTCCAAAAAGATTGTAAGCAGGATGGGAAGAGTCTCTGAGAATGTTATGCAACTTTCTCAAACACCGAGATTCGAAGATGTCGTCCAGGGCTAGTAGCTGGAGCCCGATGATATTCTGGGCAGTTTTCATGATTCTCTCTGCAGAGCTTTTTTGTCCGCTACAGAGCTGCTCCCATACCATGCAAGAATGCCGTATGTCAGGACACTCTCAATGGTGCTGCGATAGTAGGACAGAAGTAGATGCTGAGATAGATTTATCTTCCTGAGCATTCTCAGGAAGTACAGCCACTTCTGTGCCTTCTTCACAAGCATGTTAGCATTCATAGTCCATGAGAGGTCCTCCAAGATATAAATGCCCAGAAATTTAAAACTACCCACCCTCTCCACCTCCTCACCATTTATGTACAGTGGTAGATGTACATCTCTCTTCCTCCTGAAGTCAGTTATAAATTCTTTAGTTTTTGTGGTGTTAAGTGTGAAATTATTTTCATTACACCACAATGTCAGCCCTTGTATTTCCTTCCTGTAAGCAGACTCATTGTTCTTATTAATGAGTAAGTTCTAGTGTTGTACCTTATGATTCTTGACGATGTATTTTTTTTTATGTTATGAGAGCTTATGCATCAAAAACAAATTCCTTGTGTGTCCAATCACACTTGGCCAATAAAGAATTCTATTCTGTTCTGTTCTGTTCTGTTCTGTTCTATTTTTCCTATAAGGAATAATATAGTGAGTCATAAGGCAGCTGACATGGGCAAGTTCTAGCTTGTGCATTTCTAGCTTGTGCATTGAGTACCAAACAAACTACGAGTACCGGGACAAAATTTTTGCATCAGAATGAGTTGAATACCAAATTCTACAAAGTAGAGTTGATTTTCTCCAGAGGTTTTACCTTGTCAGCCCCACATTCTGTCCCGTCCAAAGGAGGATCCAGTTTGGTTTTACAAGAAGCATCTCCTTCCACAAGGCACCAGAGACCAGCGCACATCAAATGCTGTCAGCAGAAAGGAGGAAAAATTACATTTACTGTGTCCGGAGATGCCACTATTGCAAGGAAAAAGGCACAAAGTTTCGTTAAACCCCTCCACATTGAGCGTTTTCTGATTTATTTTTTAGTTTTTACAAATACATTTTCAAAAAAAAAAAAAATCTGCATGGAATAACTAACCATGCACCAAACAACCAAGCACATCCTCAAATTCCTCTACATGTTGTGGTCCACCAGCAGCCCGCAGAGCTAGCAGTGGAGTCGGACAGTGTGGAGGCTGGGGAGGACCATGGGCCAGTCCTGGAGTCTGGGGAAGGTCCGGATGAGAGCTCTGTGTCTGAGGCAGAGATGGGGCCAGGGCCATCTGGGAGTGATGTGCAGACTCCAGAGCCCCCAGAGTCGGACAGCAGAGAGGCAGAGGAACAGGAGGAGCCTGTTCCTAGTGCACGCATGCGCAGAGCTGCCAGAAGGCAAGAGCAGCTAAAGCAAAAGGGACGACTCGGGAGTAAGGCCAGGAGATTTGGCCCCTCCCAGAAGGCTTAAAAGAGAAACAGAGGCACTTGGGCCTTTTGCAGGAAAGCAACGTTGCTATCTCTGTTTCCAGTCGGCATCTCTTGTTTGTTTCTGAGGAAGCTTCCACCGAGGAAGACAAACTCATTTCTCCCTGGAAAAATCATTGGAAAAGTTCTTTATTTTAGCCCCTTGTCCCAGGACAATCTTTCAAGACATACTTTCAGAGATTCTGTCACTAAGAACAGGTTTGCTAGCCCTCAAGAAACACAAGTTAACTTGCTTTCTCTCTGAAGAAAGAGAAGCTCCTGTTTTTCATATTGTTTAAGGAGCTTGCCAGGATCAACATAAATAAAATAGAAGAACAGTTAGGATTTGAAACTCAGGCACACAATCTAAGCTTTTTATTACTTTGGCACATCTTTTTATGCAATAGGGAAAAGTAGAAAAAGTACAACTTATTCTCGTATCAGATGGTAGGTAGCTGAAATTGTTACGATGAGAAAGATGGAGGAACTTTTGAAACAAATCGCTGTGCTAAACCAAGAGTACACAACTTTTCCAAGACTCCTGGGAACAGAATGGCGGGTGTGCGATACACCCATATAAAGTCACTTTGGTAACTTTTTTCTTTTTAATTTGATTTATATGCCGCCCTTCTCCGGAGACTCAGGGCGGCTTACAATGCATTAAGTAATAGCTGTCATACTTTTGTATATTTATACAAAGTCAGCTTATTGCCCCCACAAACTGGGTCCTCAATTTACCTACCTTAGAAAGGATGGAAGGCTGAGTCAACCTTGAGCCTGGTGAGATTCCAACTTACAGTAATTGCAGGCAGCTGATGTTAATAACAGTGCTTTAGTCTGCTGCACCACCAGGCTCAACTTGGGGATGGTTTGGAGACAGGTGGGCAGGATCTATTTTGACTCTCTTTGATTTTTTAGGAATCCACTGGCAGCAGTAAAGACCCATAATAAGGCTTCAGCCATTTAGCAATTCACCCTCTGCAGGTTATTTCTTTATTAGTCCAATTTATATGCCGCCCTTCTCCGTAGACTCAGGGCAGTTTACAATGCATTATAGCAATAGCCTGCATACTTTTATGTATATACCTGCTTATTAGGGCTTTCGCCCCCCCTCCCCCTAAGCAGTGTTGTTCTATACAAAACTGGCTTATTGCCCCCACAATCCGGGTCCTCATTTTACCTACCTTGAAAGGATGGAAGGCTGAGTCAACCTTGAGCCTGGTGAGATTTGAACTCGCACTAATTGCAGGCAGCTGGCAGCTAAGTGCTAGCACTTAACAGCACTTAGTCTGCTCACCACTGAGGCTCTTTAGGTTAAGCAATTAATACATTCTGGTGCGTTACATTCTGACATATTACACAGCAGTTTTTAAAAACAAGGACAGTGTAACATTAAACAATGAAATATTTCTAGTTTTTATATCTTGCAAAAAAAAATTTTTTTTCTCCAAAGCAAAAGGAAGTGTTTCCTATTGCTTTTTTTTTTTTTAAAGATTGCCCCAGGAAGAAATCTCTGTTCTATAATCCCAGATAATGCTACCATTTTACCAAAAGTTTGTTATCAGTTCTTTTTATGATCCACATTACCTCCATATTCTTACAGAAAGTTGCATTAGTTCCAAAGAGGATCTGGCATTGCTCATCTGCGCTATAATGCATTCCTGGGAGTTTATAAGGCAGGCGGACAGCGTATCGGCTACGTGGGTCTGTTACCAGCAAACAGTTGCTGACTTTCGACCTGGGGAATCAAAAAACATGTAGATGTGCTTTCTTCTAACATACAGTCTGCTAGTAAATTACATTATTTGTTAAGCTCTTCAAATTCACAAAATACTGTTTGGGCCTACCAAGAATGCTCAATGTGGTTTACATTATACAGTAAATTTTACAGCCAACATAAAAAGCACTAGTACATGACTGGCACGGTGGTCTAGAGGTAGAGCTCTCGCCTCCCAATAAGGAGGCTGTGAGTTCGATTCTAGGAAGAGGCAGATATTTCTCTCTCTGGGCACGATGAGAATATATCTGCTGAATATTACTCCGCATTGGCGACAGGAAGGGCATCTGGTCAGCAAACATTCAGCTCCATTCAGTTGCCCAGACTCCACCCTGCAAGGGAAATTATGAGGTCATTGCCTAGCTAGGTGGCTCACTGGCTAAGACGCTGAACTTGTCGATCAGAAAGGTCGGCAGTTTGGCGGTTCGAGTCCCTAGTATAGGTCTCCTCTGTGAGCAGGGGGTTGGACTAGATGATCTCCAAGGTCCCTTCCAACACTGTTATTTATTATTATTATTATTATTATTATTATTATTATTATTATTATTATTATTTGATTAAAAGCACTAGTGTATCAATAAACACCAGGGCATTTCAAAACACCAAAGACCTCTGTGAAAAATTTGCTCTCTTGCTTATCAACAGATTCTGGTGAACAAATATCACATCAGCTCTAAAGGTTGGATAGAAACAGGCAGCGACTTTAGGAATTAAATTGAAAATGATGGTAAGGAGGTAATTGCCACTCAACCTCCTTCCCTCTCCTACACATACTCGGAACGCGATGCCTAATCACACCTTCTCCAGCTATCACATCAAAAAGCAAAATCATGTTCTCCATTTCTTCATTCTACTCAGGGTTGGCAATGGTACAAGGTGCGGAAATGCTGGATGTTGTGACATGATAATGCAAGATAAGTTTTACTAGACAGTACAGAGGGGAGGTAGATCCTCCGCTGAGCTCAGATTGGCTCAAAGATTGAGGGAGATCACTGGAGAATCTCAGGTTTCTGTTATTTTTGCCAACACTCGCTAAAACACAGAACCAGATACTTATTCCCAACTGAAAGAGCCATTCAGAAGCACTCCGACGTATTTCTATGGTCGCAAAATACGGGCAGGATTTGAAGTAAAAAAAAATGACAGCAACTCCAGGATATTTTTCAAGAAGTTGTCAAGACGCTGACATTTGGCCATCATAAAAACTTCTGTTCTCCTGCCAATAATTGTTCTGAAGGCCGGGATGCAAAAGCAGATCCAGTTTACCTTCAGTAACCCGTCACTGAGAATTGTTCCTTATTTCAACAAAGAAGATAAAAGACTATTGATTACGATTCAAATGTTTTGCAGTTAGCAAATACTCTTACTTTAAAAACTTTTCAAGGTCATCTCGGCTGCAGGAAGACCAGGATAGGTCACTGGGATTTCTGCCCTTCACCCATTCTCCAGACATGATGTGAGATCTCCCAGCGCAGGACACGTGGTCGTCGTCATGACTCATACCCATGCTAAAAGAAGAGAGAAGAGAGGAGAGAAAGGGAGGGAGAGAGGGAGGGAGGTAGAAAGGAAGAGAGCAAGAGAGAGAGAGAGAGCAAGAAAGAGAGTGAGAGAGAGACAGAGGAAGGAAGGAAGAGAGAGAGAGAGAGGAAGACAGGAAGAAAGAGAGAGAGAGAAAGGGAGGGAAGGGAGGGAGGGAGAGAGGGAAGAAGGAAGGAAGGAAGGAAGGAAGGAAGGAAGGAAGGAAGGAAGGAAGGAAGGAAGGAAGGAAGGAGCACATAGGTAAACAAACACTGTGCCTAGGATCTGTAGATTCTTAATCTTTTTTAAAATAACAAAATACTTTTGTATAATATAACAAAAACAAAACAAAATACTTGAAAGTTGGCAGACCCAAAGCCCTGGAAAAGAGATTTTGAGTCAGATAACCTAACCAGCTGCTAGCTTAAGAGCCTCACATAGTTTGTGTATTGGAGTTATTCATGTTACAGAATGAGAAATATTCTGAACCGAAGAAGCTTCTTGGATGAGAAGCAAAACGTCTTCAAGGAAAAAAACAACAACAACAAGGAAGTCCAGTTGCCTTTGGAAAAAGCATCTTTGGGACAACCATGACCTGAGTGACTGAGAATCTCCATAGACGTAAAGGAAAATCATATTAATGAAAGTGATCGGGGATGATCTGGTTGGTGGGCCTTCTTGATCTAAAGCAGCATATGGCAGCCATAACATAATAGGAGAAGACATTACATATGTTTCTATTGAAAAGCGAAATAGCTTGTTAACAGCTGGAAGCCCAGTGCCTCAACAGATGTGCATTCAGGAATACCCAGACCTCTTCATTCAGTGAAAGGCTCATAAACCTCACTTAAACAATGCCTTGGTGTTTTGCGCACAGAGCTCTTGTGGTTGAGGTCATGTAATCCCTTCCTGAAATGAGCTGCTTTTTTTAAAAAAGGGGGAATTCTGGGAAAACTGCTCCCGTGAGCCACTTACAAAGCCCTCTCTGTCTTCAGACTCAAAAGGCTAAAATAAGTGGGAAGTGCGAGGAATGTTAGTAATTGCCTTTAGGTTGCCCGGCTCTATTCAAGGAGGATATAATATTCTCAAGGCTGTACAGTTCATTAAAATGTTAATTGATGCTAGTTAACTTGCCCGTATTGCTTTGACCGAAAGGAACCCTTCTTGCAGGGATTGAGTCTGGCTAGTCTAGAGAAAAGGAGGATTAGGGGTGTCATGAAAGCAATATTCCAGTATTTGAGGGGCTGCCACAAAGAAAACAGAGGGGGGGGGGGTTTGTCAGCTTATTTTCCAAAGCACCAGAAGGCAAGACAAGAAACAATGAATGGAACCTAATCAAGGAGAGAAGCAACCTGGAATTGAGGAGAAACTTCCTAACAGTGAGAACAGTTAACCAGTGGAACATTTTGCCTTCAGAGGTTGTGGGTGCTTCATCACTGGAGGTTTTTAAGATGAGATCGGACAGCCGTTTGTCTGAAATGGTATGGGACAGTGATGGCTAACCTTTTTTCCGTCATGTGTCAAAAGCGGGAGGAGTGCGGGGGATCGCGCGCACGGATAGCTACACCCATAATTCAGTGCCCCTCTGTGCCCCGCCCTCCGTGCATGCGTGCGTGACCCCCCATGCTCCCCCCACTTTTGGTACAGTGGGCCTGGTAGGGCCATTTTTTGCCCTCTCCAGGCTCCAGAGGGTTTCTAGGAGCCTGGGGAGGGCGAAAACGGCCTTCCCCACACCCTGGAGGCCAGAAACAGCCCATTTCCTGACTTCCGGTGGGCCCGGAAGGCCCAAAAATCAGCTGGCCAGCGCGCGCATGTGCGCTGGAACTGTGCTAGGGCAACGCTTGTGTGCCCACAGATATGGCTCCGTTTGCCACCTGTGTCATGCATCCCATAGATTCGCCATCACGGGTATAGGGTCTCCTGATTAAGCAAGGGGTTGGACTAGAAGACCTCTAAGGTCCCTTCCAGCTCTATTCTGATTGATTGATTCTCTCAGGACTTCTCCACAAATAGAATCTGCATTCTACTCATATTTTACTGGAAGGGCTCCAGAAATAGGATACAAGAGCAGCTTTCCAGAGATCTCAGATTTGAATCTTTTGCTTTGATTACACCCCTACCTTTTTGGAAAAATTAAACCTAAATTCAATACTTTCTGTTGTTTGATATTCCCAAAGAGGATTTCCTGAAATGGGACGGGATTATTATAACAATGTCTGACTTTCCCACGCAGCCCATTCCTTCTCCTTCTCCTTCTCCTTCTCCTTCTCCTTCTCCTTCTCCTTCTCCTTCTCCTTCTCCTTCTCCTTCTCCTTCTCCTCCTCCTTCTCCTCCTCCTCCTCCTCCTCCTCCTCCTCCTCCTCCTCCTCCTCCTTCTTCTTCTTCTTGCACAAAGCAATTCATAGCTAATTTCACCAGGTTTGGGAACTAAAGATAGCTAAAACGTCCGTGCTGGTGCAGCTGTTATAAAAACTGGAGTGAACGGAGGAATTTGTTCATTCGTTTGCGACGCTATCCAGATACCTTTTCCATGGACGGATATCAAATATAGGCAATCCTCAACTTATGACCTCAATTGAGCCCCAAATTCCTGTTGCTAAGCGAGACATTTGTTAAATGAATGGTGTCCAATTTTATGACCTTTCTTGCCACAGCTAGTAAGTGAATCACTGCAGTTGTTAAGCTAGTAAGATGGCTGGGAAGTGAATCTGGCTTCCTCATTGCTTCCTGATGGCTTCCTCATTCCGCAATTACCAGTGGAACAGCTTGCCTTCAGAAATCATAGGTGCTCCATTCACTGGAGGTTTTTAAGACTGGACAGCCACTTGTCTGAAGTAGTATAGGTTCTCCTGCTTGAGCAGGGGGCTGGACTAGAAGACCTCCAAGGTTCCTTCCAGCTCTTTTCCATTCCATTCTGATTTCTCTTCTCTTCCTATCCCCATTCTATTCTATTCTATTCTATTCTATTCTATTCTATTCTATTCTATTCTATTCTATTCTATCCTATCCTATCCTATCCTATCCTATCCTATCCTATCCTATCCTATCCTATTCTATTCTATTGACTTTACTTCTCAGAAGGTCACAAAAGGTGATCAAGTGACCTCGGGATACTGCAAATATAAATATGAACCAGCTGTCAAGCATCTGGATTTTGATCACATTGGCATGGAGATGCTGCAATATAAATGTGAAAAAATTGGTCATAAGTCACTTTTTTCAGTGATGCTGCAACTTTGAATGGTAACTAAGCTAACTGTCATAGGTCGAGGATTATGTATTATGTAGTATTATGCATTATTATGTATTATGACTCTAGAATCCAAAGCAGGAGAGAAATTTTCCTGCTAGTTGCTTAATTAACGGAATCTATTTTCAGACACGATTCTTCAGAGTTCCTTAGAACCAGTGGTGAAATTCAATTTTTTTTTACTACTGGTTCTGTGGACGTGGCATGGTGGGCGTGATTTGGTGGGCGTGGCAGGGAAGGATACTGCAAAATCTCCATTCCCACCCCATTGGGGCCAGCCAGAGGTCGTAGTTGCCGGTTCTCCGAACTACTCAAAATTTCCGTTACCGGTTCTCCAGAACCTGCTGGATTTCATCCCTGCTTAGAACAGATTAGAGAAATACATTAAAGCAACATACAGTAGGTCTAGCTGTCTATGGAGACTCAGAGATTCAGTCATCCAGGCCAAGGTTGTCCCAAAGACGCTTTTCAAAAGAAGCTGGAATTTCTTGTAGTTTGTTTGTTTTTTTGAAAAACATTTTGCTTCTCATCCAAGAAGCTTCTTCAAAACTTCTTCAGAACTCATCCAAACTTCCTGGATGCGAAGCAAAATGTTTTCAAAAGAAAAGAAAAAAACCCAAGAAAGTCCAGTTGCCTTTTGAAAAGCACCTTTGGAACAGTAGGTCTAGCTTAAATTTCTCCCCTCCCCTCCCCCCCAACATCCTATACGGTATTGGACTACAACTCCCATAACCCTTGCCCAACATCTGGCTGGAGAAAGCTGGCTTGGCTTCCAGACTAATGGACTCACCCCAAACCTCACTAGAATCAGCATTCTGCTTGATGAGAACATGCAGTTATAACTAATATAAACCTTTCTTTGTCTTATTAAAACAGTATTTTCCCTCTTAGGGCCATCTCGAAACTCCACCCAGTGCCACAAAGCCCTTTTCCCATCCCAATAAAACATTTATGGTTGGCTGTTTGGAAACATTCTACTTCTTCTTCTTCTTCTTTTTTTTCCTTTTGGTCAATGTGCCTAAAATAAAATTTGGGGGGAAAAAAAACCCAACTCGAAAGCTACAGCTTAAAATAAAGCTACAATAAAGTTTTTAAGAAAGACAGATAAAGAGCTGCAGTGTTCTCCAAGACATCTGGCTGGGGAATTCTGGGAGTTGAAGTCCTCCAGGCTTAAAGTTGCCAAGGTTGGAGACCTCTGCTCTAGGATAAGGTAAAGGTAAAGATTCCCCCGCATATGCGGGTTAGTCGTTCCTGACTCTAGGGGGCGGTGCTCATCTCCGTTTCAAAGCCGAAGAGCCAGCGCTGTCCAAAGATGTTGCCATGGTTATGTAGCTGGCATGACTAAACGCCGAAGGCGCACAGAGCGCTGTTACCTTCCCACCAAAGGTGGTCCCTATTTTTCTACTTGCATTTTTTACGTGCTTTCAAACTGCTAGGTTGGCAGAAGCTGGGACAAGTAACGGGAGCTCACTCCATCACGCGGTGCTAGGGATTCGAACCATTGAACTGCCGACCTTCTGATCGACAAGCTCAGTGTCTTAGCCACTGAGCCACGGCGTCTCTTACTATATCTAGGATATATCCCTTAATATATCTAGGATATATCCTGCTATATGGACGGAACTTGGCAGATATTCTTCCAAACCAGAAAGCCCCTTCTAGTCATATCACATCTTTTTGACTCATTTTTCTTGTCCTCGATGGAGCTAAACGTTAGGAATTTTTACGGGTGTTTTCATA